GCAATTCATCGTAGAAATGCTGGCGAAAACCACAAGGGAACACTAGTGTCGCTGTCGTCATGGCGTCCCAACGAAAAGCAATTATAGAATTTCGACGTTTTTGTAATTCGGTAATTTAAATTACTGTATACAATTTTTAAGGAAATAAAGACATCATAACCAAATAGAAACTTCCGTGCTAAAACATGCAGTGCGAAGTGAAGACAACTACTATCTTTTTTTTTTCTTGATGTCCACAAAAAAAAGGCTATGCAGCATCGATCCTACCGTTTTTTTTTTTTTTTTTTTCACACATTATGTGATGTCCTCTAACACGAAAGTACCGACGTAAAAGCGCTGTAGAGACGATATAAAAACAAAAATTTAAGTGAATCGAGCTTTGTAGTGGAACGGAAAAAAATAAATAATTAACGACTTTTTACGGTAAACACTTCACCTCTAAGTAGAACTTCAAAAAAGTGACAGTTACGCGCTTTCATGCCCATTTCAACAAAGTTGGGAGAACGATGTATTGCATCTTGTGAATAGACATGTGGAGCAGCATGTTTATGTTAGAGGCATTGTGTGTAATCGCTGCGCAGTACCTGCCGCCAAAAGAAGATATTATTTGGGCACAGTCTCAACCGTTTCCGTCTGTGTGTGCTACGAATACAGCAACTCTTTTCGTAGAAGAAGTGATGAGGAAATGGCGTGCCCTTGATGATACGATTGTGATTATGAAATAAAATTTTTAATCAGCCAATAATTGCGACCTGTCTGGTCGCCTGGAACCCCGACAACAACTATCGTTCTCTGGAAAGTTCATTCTAATATTTACACGTTTTGTGGAGTTCATCGAGCGAATAAGAATGTTCCAACAATGAGCTAAACCTACACGAGTTCCCGAATCCAACATGGCGCTTTTGAATTTTAGCGCCGTAGATAGTTCTGCGAACAGTGTATACTTCTGTGCAAATATTCGTCAAACAGTTTTGCAACGTTGGAAAGCATCGAAATGATTCAGAATTACTGCGGAGTTGATACTCGGGAAGATAAGACAGGCACTTAAGAGAAACGGACCGTGGCATTTGAGACAGGGGCACAACCGGGGGACAAACGTGCTACAATCGCATACCCTTCCAAGGTCATCGCTTGGGCGACCGCGCGCGCGCCCAAGAAACCTTTTCTTTTTTCTTTTTAGGGGTGGTGGGGGGGGGGGGGAGGGAGGGGAGGGGAGTGGTGTAGGCGCTGATTGTCTTCCTCCTTTGTGGCTTTTGACAGACGCACAACGAGACTGGCAGAACAAGTGCAGGATTCATTTCTTTCGATGAAGGCGTTCTGTCTGTGTATGCGAACATGATTTTTTTCCCCTTTTAGTAGTTAGTTGTTCTTGCCTCGACTCGGGTCCCAGTGGGTGCGTTGTCGTTGTATGCCCACTATTTTTTTTTTTTTAGTTTATGGTAGTTTTTGCGCTGCTGGGGTATCAAAGTAGACAAAAAGAAAAAAAAAAAAGAAATAGCGCCTCGACAAAAAAAAAAAAAAAGTTGTTGCGATCAGGAACGTTTTTAAAGCGATTTTAGGAGCCTGCAGTGTTGCCACAGGTGCAGGATTGAGAGCGTAACCCACGCACTTGAAGAGAAGGGGAAGCTCTCGTCTTATTGGAACTCTCTTTTATGGGTTTCCACGTCGCGATTGTCCTTCAAAATCAACTGTCATTTATTTCTCGCTCGTGGCTTCCAAGTACTGGAAGCCACGACTCGAGCCACAATAGTTTTGCGAAATCAAGGTTTCGCTGAAATGGATAACTCTCACGTACAGTTCGACGCGCAATACCTTTGCCGTATTGACTCGCGAGAGATGCCCCCAACACGGCTGAGTATGGCGGTGCTCCAGACCTAACATCTAAATTTTGTTGCCTTACCTGTTACTATTTCGCGCCCATTTTGAGCCATATCAAAATGAAAGCGCATGATGAAATAAAAATGACACTTGTTTTCCGCTCGATGGAAATTTCACGCCAGCTCGCTGTCTTTGCTGGTACAGTATAGACCACTTACAACGTAACCGCTTATAGTGCAGGATTGGGTATAACGCGGTTTTTTTAAACCACCGGTTCACCTCCCATAGAACTCCATGTATTTACATCCCGCTTAAAATGCAGGCGCGCGAAGGGAAATACCGGTTATAGTGCGGTTTCTTGAACAGCCCGCCGACCGCGCCGACACTAGATAACGGCGCTAGCCGCGAGCGGCACTCGCGGGGCAAGGAGGTTGCTCGAAGGAGCGGGGAGAAGCGAAGAGGGAGGCTTCAGTTGCCATAGCGACGGAGGGACGCATGCACGTGTCATTCACGTGCGTGCGTCCCTCCGCTCAGGCTCTGCCTCCGCTGTTCGCGCGCGTTGCATGCCGGTCGCGCGCCAGCTGCTTTATCCGCAAACATGGCGTCGGTTGTGATCGTCGTCGTAGACGGCATAGTGGAAGTTCATCGTTCCGCGTAAAAGCGCTATCCTTCACTGTGAATTTTCGTTGTGTGTCGCTATGATAAACCAGCACGTACTAGAAGGGAAGATCCACCTACTCGTGCGGCGATGATGTGGTGGCACTCCCAAGACGGCAGAAACGACCGTGTCGTCGTGTTTGTTTACTTCGACTACAGTGGTGCTTTCTAAACATTTGTGTTTGCGAACATCGCCCGGATTTCTTATTTGGAGCATTTCGTGCCTGTGCTCAAGTTGAAGGTATTACTGGTGCGTACCGTATAAAGGATGCGATTTTTCACGCGTTTTCATCGCCGGAGAAAAGTGATTAGGGTTAGCATTCCCGAACGCTCGCAACGTCCGTCCGCAGTCCGCGACGCCGTTAAAAGGCTGCGCCAGGCAAAAGTCGCTCATTTCTTTCAAAATGTGTGACACACTTGAGAGAGAAGTGTACTAGTCTGGTAAAATAAAGACTTTCCTCAAACTAAGCTTTATTTTTCATCTAACATAGGAATAAATTCTTTTACAAAGGTAAGTTGTCTGATGGCATGTATTTTGACCTGAAAAATTGATGTTTTGGTTATAGCGCGGTACCGCTTATAGTGCGGATTTTCGCGACTCCCGCGGCATACGTTATATGCGGTCTACACTGTACCTTGAGCGTTTCCCAGCGATGCGGAGAGTTAAAAAAAAAAACACAGAAAAACAAACACGTACGATGGCATCCTTTGCACACTCATTACTTCTATAACACCGAGCCGTCTCGTATCCTTTTGTTTTTCTTTCATGGTACTAATTTCTTTCTGCGCATTACGGCTGTTACGACGCTAAGTCTGTCTGCCCTTCGAATTTGAACTTAGGCTCAGATCAGGGACGAACCAGTTTAAATCAGGAAAATATAATTAACACTGTAGCAAAGTAAATCTATCATATCGATCGGAAATACGATTTGGCACATTCCATCTGAACACATATTGTGCACAGCGAATGCAATAGCGAGTCAGCGTGCAAAACGCCGCCACACTGAGCTACCATAACATCTCAGCGATTTTTGCATAGCACCGAGCACGGAAAAGAGAAAACAGTTATTCATTCACATAAACGAAGCAAATTTATTTAAAGCCCGGACACTCCGTACGTCCAATCTAGCTAAGGTTATCAATAGACTCGACCATGTCATTTGTCGAAACAGATAAAAGACGTTGGCAAAAATGATTAGACTGAATAAGTGAATCTAACGCAAGTATTTTACCAACCGATGGTCGCGCGCCTTCAATACCCTTTCCAATTGTCATTGCGCACCTTGGACACACTTTGGGGAGCAATGCGTATTTACATCGCCGCCCGAGGTCTCCATTGAACGTGTAGTGCTGACCCAAATAAAATGCTAACCTGACTCTCAATCGCTCACCGCAAAGGACGATTTCGAACAGGCGGTACTGTAGGTCACTTGAGATAAAAAAGAAAAGAAAAAGAAGCTATAAAAACGAGCGTCGTAAAAAAGGGGACCGGCATTTTTATTCCTACCTCCGAACAGAAACGAGCGCCACCCACTGCATCACACAGCGCAGAGGCCGGACTCGGCCACCGCGCGTACATACCAAGCGCGCGCGAGGGAGGGAGAAACTTCCTCCGCCGGGAGAACACTGCACATTTCGGGATCTATTTCACGCAGCGGATAACGTGGGCCTTTTCACACCTCGATACTGGCGCCATCTAGAAGTTGCGCGTTCAACCACGTTTCGAGCCGCGCGCCATCTGGTGGCTGAAACGGACGAATAAATAGAGGTACCGCGCCTTCTTAAGGGACAGCTTTACTGATTATTTTTGAAAAAGATTACCTGCAGCCTTTACAGTCGAATCTTGTTAATTCACTCGAGACTTTTGTTTAGAGCAATAAACAACAACTTTCAATGTATTCGAGTCAAAAGCAGTCCTACTGTACAGCAGCAGCACAAGACTACCAAACAGCAACCTGTCTTTTAATTTAAAACACTTTCCATTTTCCTTTTTGGGGAAGTGCTTGTCTGACTGGGGGAGGGGCGGGAAGGGGGGTAGGGGAGGGAGCCGCGAGCCGCATTTTAACATGCAAAGAGTCGCAGCTTGGCACCCTTGACATAGAATATAAACTTTTAGACACATACTGTATTTTCAAGCATATAAGTGGCGCCTTTGTATAAAGTGCACTTGTACGTTTGTATGATCGGCACAGTAAAACTGCTTTGATAATTAAACCTTCATATTTGTACTATGATCATGGTACGGGCACAAGCTAGAACCAATTTAAATGTTTTCGCCAACCAATCAAACGAAAAATATAAACCCCGTAGCAAACTTGCACTGTTAAGGTCCATACCTGTGTAAGAAAGAAGTGCTTATAGACCAAGATGCCTTATTGTATAAACCGCCCCAACAAAATATTTTGTAAAAGTAATATATAAATATTTGAGTAATACACTGGGAAAGATAGTAGTTTGCAGACCGTAGTCCTAAAAACATGGTAGTTGCAGTGCTCCAGCCTCTGCCATGTTTTTTCCCGCTCCAGCGACCGGTCCTCAACGCTCCACATTGCGGCGAGTCAGGGCCACGCCTCGATTGTGGAGCGTCTGCTTCAGTACGGAGCGGCGGTGGACACGTTGGACTCCCTGGGACGGACTCCACTCCTCATTGCCGTCATAGGAGGTCACCACGATGTTGCCAAGGTGCTCATCAACTACCAGGCCAACGTCAACATGGAGGGACTCTACGGTATGCCTTCCCATCCAGGTAGCACACCAGGGAAACGCCAAACTTGGCACTGGCTTCATAATCCTAGGGGCCTAACTTGGGCCTAATACAATTTTGCTGCGAGGCATTAGTTAGTGTCAAAGTGCTTTCCTTTGGCGTTTCTATGAATTTTCTCTGGCTCGCCGCACAGCTGGCAAGGTGCTGGACTTGAGCTACGTGTGCTGTGTATGAACCGAACTACCAGCGGCGCAGCCTAACCCTGGCACTTGTTTGGCGAATTGGGGCCAAGATGCCCAGACTCTGGCCAAAGATGGTCGAGTGTGGTTCAATCTCGGCTTCCTCAGGCTTTTTAAGGAGACACTGACACCCCACAAAATCTTTTTTTTTAATTTTTTGCCAGGTGTTTTAACATGTGTCAGAAGACTACCCAATCAATAGTTTGCTATAAAATAGTTTGTTGTTCGGCGAGTTGGTGAACGTTTGGATACATGGTTTTGCGCAAAAAAAGACGGACAGAAACGGACGGAAAGACAGTTGTAAGTTGCGCTCGTGTTTGTTTCTCTCTCTTGTGTCCGTCTTTTTTGCGCAAAAAATAGTTTGCTAGAGTGTCACATGCATATCTTTAATAAAGTCGAAAACGCAACTGCTTAAAACCAAAACTCAGACTAGACAGGGGAGGAAGAAGAAACATAAAAGAGGAGAGCGTTGCCTGAAGTCACATGGTTCTGCAACTTTTATTATTGATCAACGTATTTGCAGCTTTTTAGAAACCACAAAAAGTATGTGTCATATTTTCTGTCTATACTACTATTGAGTATGTGCCTTCGATAACCCACGACTTGGGTTATCTGTGGTGGTTGTCGAGTGACATTTTGGAATTATAGAAAAGATAATCACCCACCACTTGGTGGGTGATTATCTTTGGTGGTTGGCACATGACCACAGAGAAGGGAGTGAGCGCAACTCAAACCAGCCAGTTCTCGATCACTGGTTTTTGGGTGGAAAAAAAACGAATTTCAACCCGCTAATTGTGTTCTGGGTAATTGTGTTCTCATGCATCATGTACAAAAAGAACAAACTTGGCAAACATAAATACCCTGTCAGTGTCCCTTTATGGCCCTAAATTCCCAAACTAAATCCCGATTTTTGCTTGAAGAACTGCACCAACTAGGTACGCTTTCAAAAGGCGTTGAGACATAAAGCAAGCTACACTTCAAAAGCACCGCCGCTTTTACGGCACTGGAACTATGGTTGTCAAGTTCAACCCCGATGCTCAATGTTTTGATTGTGTGATTGTTAAAACGTGGTGGTTGCGACATCGAAACCAATTTTACCGTCACGGCTTGATGTGGACCCCAGCATACACGTCAAAATTCCAAGGAGTAATTAAGGGGGGACACTACCCAAAACAGTAAATTTTTTAACCACTTGTCGGATTTAAATTATATTTACACTGCTTGTTTCTGTTGATGTTGAGAACATTTCTGCCAATTTTTGTTAACCTGGGTGAAGTACAAAAAAAAATTGCAAACGTTCAAACACGAAAGTGGGCGTGCCTGCTTAGGAAAACTATCGTTTTGAAATTACTTATAAATTTGTTGTTTTCATGGGTTACATTGCATTAGGACAGTTCAAAGCAGATAACTATGGAGCTATATTTCTATGTTATACCATCTTTCATGACAAAAAAGCCATATAAACACAAATACAGTTTTTTAGATTTCCATCCTTTGTCCAAACTTTTAGTTCTTGAGCATGAAAAATGACAAAAATAAAAAATACAAGCTCATAGTTATCTTCCCTTAAAATTTCACCCCAGAAAAACTCATAAAAATGAATCCAAGTTGCGTAATAACAAAACGATAGTTTTCCTAAAGTGAAATTTATGCCAAAAAGTGGATTGGAGAAAAATGCGTTCAAAGTGCTCCAACCTCTACCTTTTCTTTAGCATCGGAGGACCGAAAATAATTTATAAATATTAACTATGCAGTGTAAACTAATGAAAATTTCTAGGAATACTCTCTAGATGTTGTTGAATGTAAATATGACATTTTTCAAAATCAACTTTTTTTTGCAGAAATTGTTTTTTCTGGGTAGTGTTCCCCCTTAACTCTTTCCGCACCATGGGGAAAAGTGATCATTTTCGACAGTGCTGATTGTTGGGCGAGTTGTTGCTGTATCTTTGAAAACATGGTAGCACTTATAGACACGGACAAGAGGGAAAAACGAGGCAACGCATTGCGCTAACTTCTGCCGCTTTATTCTCAAAAATACATGGGAATATATCCTCTGCATTATTGTGCCAGACAACCAGTCTTGTGCCTCGCTGCTGCTCGCAAGAACTGTGTATCTTTATCTGCCAGATTAATTGAAGCCACCCTGACGCACTCATCGCCGCAACTTTTGATTACCGTATTTACACGATCGTAAGTCGACTCAATTGTAAGTCAAAGCCCTCACATTGCACGTCAGCGAGAAAAAAATCTTTAAGGCATATTTTATGTTACACACGTGAGAACTGCAGGATATCTCTTCCGAACGCCCAGCCTTCAGCACTCGATTGATGCCTTCTGGCGTTTTTTGGCTGTGCATGCACGTGGAGCATCAGATGCCCAGGCGTTATCGAAACTAGAATGCTCATGTGCGAGGTGGGACAACTGAAGTGGCTCCCTTTCGTTCTCACTCTGTTCTCGACTAAAGACTATGATTCATCCGCACTCGGAATGGCAGTCCCGTCGTCATCACTGCTACGTTCTCGAAGCATGCCGTCGGCGTCGTCCAACGAAATCTCGCGCTTTGGAAATGACTGCATCAACTGCATCTTCCGCGCTTGCTCGGTGATTGCGTTGCACGTCGCAGGTAGGGACCAATTGTGCACTTATGCGGCGTACGTTGCAAGTTTGCCCTCTAACTCTGGAAGGCCTATCCAGACTTTGGCCCGCGGAAGCCTCTTCCTTTGCCGTCACACCTAAGAACCTGCGCCATTGCAGACTCCACTGGAGCGCCACCCACTCCGGCGGATCAAACTTGCATCCAGCAGTGCAGTTGTTGGTTGCTTCTGGATGAAGGATGGAAATAAACGAGCACCGAAAACTTAACTGCCCGTACCATGCGTGTCAATACAAAAAAACATAGCTGGCGCTCCGGCATCATCTCGGCACTCTATCAAACGACGTGCGACCGTGAATTGTGCGAAAAACTGCGAAAAGAAGTTGCAAGGAGCGAGGCGTGAGACTGTTCTGGCGGCCATTCCGGAATGGCTCTTACAAGAAGTGGTGCCACCCCCAGGAGTCGGACGCGCCGTGCGCTGTTCACCACTGTACATTCAGGCTAATTTGCATATTGCTATCAGTAATACTCTTTCTTGCAAAATATAAAAAAAAAAAAAAAATACTTGTAAGTTGAGTGCACAGAATAGCACAGTGCTACAAGTACAGCCTGCTGAACTTGTAACAAGTCAAGGTGTTCTTGATATCGGAATTGTTTCGTTTTTGTCGGCAGTGAAATTCTTTGGTTCGATTGTAAGTCAACCCCCCCCCCCCCCACTTCTGATTTTCAAAAATTGAAAAATGGGTCGACCTCCATTTGTGTAAATATGGTAAGTCTGCTCCTATAATTTCTCTTAACCATTTTATCTTTATGCCTACTGATAGTCGTGCATGTAGTGAACACAGGTTTGCATCCCCAGTCATGACAGTCCGTAGGCAGATGGCCATCTTGATGGCCGCTCACTTTTTGGTTCTGTTCGCGTAATCTATCACAAAGACATCTTACTGTCTGGCCTATGTATTTCCTGCCACACGTCGGAAGGTTCTGATATACGACTCCTTCTGCACGTGCAACAAATGGGCTTCGATGCTTCTTCAGACAGCTTACTGGAGCTTTTCGTGAAGGAATTATCAATTTGTATACCTCGGCGAGTTTATCCGGTGCCGAAAAAGCCCTTTGTTTCTTTTTAACTATGTCTTGATCTGGAGCTTCTAAGCTTCTTTAAAACCTTCATCGCAACAGACCCAAGGAGAGTCTTTGGAAAACCGGCAGTCACCAGGCATTCCGACCGCTCCTTTAGACCTGAAGGTATCGCATGTTGACACAACACTGTGAGGGCATTCACAAAACATGAATTTACAATTTCTTTTACCCAAGTTTTGAATGGGAAAGGTTAAATGGTAACAGGCTTCTTGGCTCTAGGGTGGCAAGACCAACACACGTGCTGCTTCGAGAGGGTCGGCTTAATGTCTAAAACCTGAATGACATTTTCAACAGGTGCCTTATGCATCAGTTGAAGAGGATGAAGGACATTGCTGAAAACGGTTAAACGACTTTTTACTGCTGAGGGGGAGTGAGGAGTATCGTGGTCAAGAAAAACTAAAAAATCACATCTAAAAACCTTTTTTAACATAAGAACCATGTACGTGGTTTAAAAGGTCTCTGATGATGGGGTAAAAATCTATCACTCAAGATGGGCGCTAGACAAGAAACGTTACATGCTTCTCACTTTTGAATGAAAATGCCATTATTCCGTTTTGCAGAGGTCGAGACGAGATAAAACGAAAGCAATTCCAAAATGTCGTCCACAGTCATGCTAGCTGCATTTTGAAATGCTGATGCCCTTCATCCTCTCCACGCATGAGGTACCTGTGGAGAAATGTCATTCAGCTCACCCTCCTCACAAAGCAGCATGCGTGTTGGGCTTACCACCCAGTCCCTAGAGCCAATAAGCCCCTTTTGCCATTCAACCTTTTGCATTCAACACTTGTTTAAAGAGGAATTGTAAATGAATACTTGAGGGTGGCCCTTAGGAGGTCATGTCAATGCGCGCTACCTTCGTGTCTCAAGGAGCAGTCAGAACGCTTTGTCTCTGCCGGTTTTCCAAAGATTCTCTTTGTGTTTGCTGTGGAAAGGGTTTTAAAGAGAGTAGTAGTAGATATTCCAAATCGAGACATAGCTAAAAAAAAAAGGAACAAAAAAAAAGGGTGGCAGTTCTGTCATTTATGCACAAGACTACATGCAACCTTAAG